GACGGGAAATGTTATACTCTTTGAAACCTGCTACAGCTTCATTGCACACTGGTTTATCTCTTATAACTGTAAAAAAAAAAGTATTTCCAGGTCCATTCATCATTAAAAGCACGCCACTCTGAATCAACTTTACGTTTTTTGGTAGCCATTTTGGGGTTGAAATATTTTACGAATAACCCAAAACAAGCACTAGCTATGCTATGCTATGCTATACTTTTAATAATTTCACTACTATTCACAATGATGCTATATGTCTGCAGTCTTTCCATACGCAATCAATAATATTAGAACTCGCGCCAAAAGAAAAAGGCTGCTGGCTGGAGCTTAAAATGCTCAGTCTGCCACATGTGAGGTCTAATTCACCTATATTGAATTCTCATATGTCTACTTCCCGAGAAAGAAATAATGCTTGTTGGTGCCAATCTACGGCTATAACTAAGAAAGAACATCCGCTTTTAACACTTTACCGATTGAAAGCTGTCTGTGCTTGCTATTTCTGTTGATTTATGTTTTGTAGGAAAAAAATAGAGAAAGTAAAAAGATCATCAGCCCTTTGAAAAAATAGGAAGAAAAAATAATATTTAAACAAAGTTGAAAGGGAGATGGATGTATAATATATGAATATATATTTCTTTTAATGTGCCTTGGACCGTCAAATTTAAATTCTATCCGCGGGCCGGATAGAACCTTCCGGCGGGCCATAGTTTGCCCATTCCTGGCTTATAGAAATTTGGTGAAGCAATAATTTTAAAGTGCTGGCTAATGCAATATGAATATGGAAGAGTCTCATATTTAGGTTTGCAGCTATTAAGATCATTTTATCTGAACAAAATAATGCATTAACATAAGGAATATTTATTTTTCTAGGTGATGCAGTTTTTTTATTCTCCACTATCGCCATGAAGTGTTAATGATTAAGATAAGCTATAATACCTGTAACCTTAAAAATATTAAAAAAAGACCCTGTAGGTGATTGGATACCTAAGTAATCTTTTTTTGATAGCAAACTTCCCCCTCCATTTTATTCCATTAACTGTATTTACAACACAGATAGCTTCATTAAAATTTTTTCAACCTTAAAAAGGAGTAATTGTGTCGGCAGTATTGGTTAAATTTTGTTTATAAATGTACATGCTTTGTCATTATGCTGGGCTCCTTAGAACATCACTATGTGCCCTAGCACATTTTGGAGTTAAGCCTAACATACAAAAGTAATTCTTCTAAAATATGTTTTTATCAAAATATTTGGAATTTTGTGTATGTTACTTTATATAATATTATAAAATTAACTCGAAAGGATTATTATATTCTTTCAAGTATTTCACTTGAAAGGAGACCCAAATATTGTCACGTCATTGCATAAGTACTTCACCAAGCACAATCAGATTTGGACAGAAGACAATCCATTACGTTAGAGTGTTGATGTGGCAATACTGTACTTTATAAACAATGAGGAAGTCCTGTGAGTGTTTGTTTTTGGTGCTTGTGTTCTATTAAAGTCGAATAAAGGATATGATGTGCCTACTTGCTTGTTTCTTGTGAAACTGTATTGTTTGGTGACCGAAAAAAACTGTCGAAACATTGTATACAAAATTTAGTGAGGAAGCTGTAGATCAGCACAGCAGAGGACTGGACTAATTTGCAAAAGTAGATGATTTAAGATAGCAGTTGTTGCCTTCTCCCGTGAAGTCTTTTCAATATTTTTCACTTTCAAGTGGAATGCCACAAAGCACTTGTCAAAGAGCTGCTAAGAAACCAGCCTGTATCCCTAGTGGCTTACAGATGTTTATGAGCTTTGTGAAGAGACCGACTACAATAAGCTCAGTAAATTTTGTGGCTGGTTTCACTAGTTTATTGTTGAGAGAAAAGGAATATTAAGAGAACACTACTGATGAAGCATGGTTCCACTTTTCTGACTGTATGCTTTCAGAACACATGTTTATGGAATAGTGGAAGCCCACGTGAACTGTTCAGCAGCCCCTTCATTCACAAAAGGTAGGTATATTCTGTGCATTATCACCGGCAGCAAATAGTCGCATTTTTTATTATTATTATTAACTGTGGCAAGTGAAATTTACATGCAGTTGTTTAAAGAATTTGCAAACTGCGTACATGATCAGAAACTGACACTTGGCTGCTTACAACATGGTTCATCAGGCTACACTTCTCAAGTGCCACCCATCTGGGATAGTGGCTAGTAACTTTGCATTATTGAAGGACTTAAATTTAAATCCCAGAGAAGTTATGAATGTTTGTAAATGTCTAGTGTGACATGGAGGCACTCTAAATGTGCTGCGAGCTGAAAGTCCTCTCGAAAGGTTAATGGTTGGGGAGGAAGAGAGGTGGGACACCCTCAGACCTATTCCCTGAGATGCTCGTGGGGTTATTCTGATGTTCTGTCAGGTAAGCAAAATAAGTCATAAGATCAACAACAGGAATACACTTCTCAAGTAAGCATAGCTGAGGTAGAATCATTTTAAGAGGATTATGAGCCCCAAGATAACCTGGACTATTTCCTGTTGGATAACCTTAAAGGGAAATTTTAGAGGGACAAACCATGCACATTTAGTGAGATATGGTAAAACATCTGCCATAAAATGCAGGCAGCCACATTCATGAACTTGTAGCACTGTTTTGAACTGATTTCCAGCACCTCTTGTGAAACTTTTATTTGCTTCATTTCCTCTGAATTTACCTTTTTTACTCAACAGTTTCTGGAGCCCCTTTCGAATGAGATATTGATTATAAACATAAAATCCTAATGCTTTTGATTAAAATAAAAGTAAGGGCTATATTAGTTAATAAAGTTTACATTTACATATTTAAATTATTTTCATATCAAAATTTTTTTATTTTCATATCAAAATTAAGTAAAAAAAAAATCTTAATTTAAATATCAGTGCCTATTATATCTTGTTGCCATACTTGTACACGATATTTCAAGTCATATTCACTCCTTGAAACATTTCCAAATTCTGAACATGCATTGTACATTCATAAAACAAAATAGTAAATTATAATCATAACAAGGCTAACATTCAAGAGATTCTATTTAATAAGGTTTTCGGTATTTTTATGTATTTTATACACATTAAAGTTTTAAATAAGGCATTGCATTTCAACATATCAAATATGGATTTAGTGGGCCACTGGTGATACTTTGCTCTCATATCATATTTAGTATGGTGTGCTGATGGAGGGAAATTGAAATGTATCATATATGATCTACTGGGAGTGAAGAGGTTAACTGGCATTTATGCTAGGAACAGGTCAGCAGAAAAAATAAATAAATAAATAAATAAAATAATAATAATTAAAACAGAATTAAATTTACAAAAAAAAATTGATTGAAAAACTTGAAAGTATTCTTTTAAAGTTTAATGTGATTTATCAGTACACAGTATCAATAGAGATGGCCTGGGTGAAATAATGAAACATTTTATTAAATACTAGAGGAATATGTATTTAGACTGACATTGTAATCTTGTATATCATCTGTATATTGGAAAAGTAAAAACATGTATAATGAAAGTCTTAAAATATATTGAATGTATTTAATTAGATATATTATGAATTTAAATGCATATATATTTAAATCAGATAGATTGTAAAAAGTGAAAAGTAATATTCTTATGAACAGCATCTGTTGCTGCGCTTAAGTAATTTAGTTTAATTCAATAATAGACAAATTTCATTTGAAAGATATTACATTTTGCCAAATGGCAACAGCCTTGAATGAAACATGAATCAATGCAAAATTGTGTATCAAGACTAGTAGACATTTGGGCTTTTAATAAATACTGCTGTTTTCAACTTTAAATTGGTGTTTAATTTTAAATAAAAGGTACTTAGAGGGAACTTCTTCTAGTGGCGCCAAATAATCTCTTAAAATACCTTCCATGTCAGTTTGTCTCTTATAATGCATAGAGCTTCTAAAACTAACACAGACCTAAACTCGTATTTGCTTTAATTTAAAACTTAATTTCCCATAGCTGTCTGAACATTTATTGTGTGTTAACTTTTGTTAAGAAAAAGGTTTGTGTATATTATGGCTCTCATCTTTTATTAAATATTATATTTCTTATTTTATGATTATAACTGGTCTAATGCAAAGTAATTTTTGTCATCAAAAGAGTTATAATCCTAATCAAGATAGCTGTGATATTGTGCTAAATTATGAAATAATACTTCTGGCTGAATTAATTTGGAAGATTTAACATTTAGAACATTTTTAAAATTTTTAATTTACAAATTCTGCCACCCAGAGAAAGTAAGAAGCATAATTCAGCAAACACATTGATAGGCCATGCAAATTTTTTTATGTTGCATTTTGTCTGGGGTATGTTATCTTAATTCATTGTTTCTGCTGGAATAAACAGGATTTTATCTTAGATATTTTTATATATGAGAGGGTAGAGCCTGTTGCAGTTATGAAAAAACTGTACTTTCTGATTATCTGCATTCAACACAAAAAGTCGCTAATGTATTGTCGATTTTTTGGAATTGGTGAAAACTGTATGTTTAGTTAACTTTAGCTTACTATTAATATCACAGATAAAAATAAAATGAAGCATTTAAAGAATAATTAAAGTCAAAAGTTTACACAGGCAATAATTATAGTTTTACAATCAAGGAACTGTGTTCAGCAAGATGATGATTAAATATAAAATGTAGATATGCACATGTATCTGTTTGTTCTTTAAAGTCAGAATTATGCCAAAATCAGGGCAGTTTTACTTAATTGAAACCAAGGGTGTGGATAATCAGAAAGTAAGCATCAAGACTATATAATTGAGGTGGGATAATTGAAAAAATACATATATAAATAAATGGAGAGAAAATTAAGGTTAAATAAATTAAATTTATTGTTTTGTAATAATTTAATTGAATGAAAGTAAGTTTTCAAAATTTAATTATTATTTATAGAGATTCCTATTGAGCTTGTTTTTCATTTATAATTAGAGCCTGTTAAATTATTTTTTGAATTCTGAATGTTTTAGGCCTTCCTTCCTCAAGGTAAACACCTCCTCCCACAGGTAAAACATCAAGATGCTCACAAGTTGTGCCTGGTCATCGATCTTGATGAAACTCTTGTTCATAGTTCATTTAAGGTAAATCTCTTTAGAAAAATTATATTTATTTTTACCAATTGTACACAACTTTTAATGAAAAGTAACTTAAGGGAGAGTAGGTGAACAAAACCACAATCTTGAAATTAATTATCCAAAACAAAAAGATAGGTTGGATTAAAATTGTTAATAGAAATTGTCATATTTTCAGTGGGGAAATTTCTGGAAAGTTTTTATATGTGCAGCTGGTGAAACTTTAGTAAATATTTAAAAAATTGTAGCAAAAGGAAGTAAAATGCTTGTAAATTAGTATTTTTTTCAGACTTAGCATAAAATCAGGCAAAGCAACAGCTTTGGGTTTGGCGTAGATTTTAGTCAAGACTCTTATCGATTTTGAGGGCAAACAGGTATGGATCCCTCTTCATCAGAAGCAAAGAAATCAGCAACGGAGGAAATTATGTGTATACTCAAATTAAGTAAAGCAAACAAGAAGTCCATCTGTCAGCAGAAACAGTAACAAAAATTGAAAAATTAAGTTAATATTTCTTTAAAGTATTAGGAAGAATTGGATTGCAATTAAAGTCATTAACAAGATAAATCTTTGTGAATGCGAAAAGCTTCAGAAAAATCCAATTCACCAATGGAAGAAGCTTTTTGATAATTTTTGCAGACACATAGTCAAAATTATGATTGAATTCTGACTTTAATTTTGAGGCGAATTTATAACATATCTTGTCATTGTGGGTTGAGGTATAGTGGTTAAGCTAAAAGAGCAGTAAAGTTTCGCATCAAGGAACACGGAATTTATGTCCGAAGAGGCAAAATTACAAATCATCAATAGCTAATCTTAGTTGAAAATTTAATGACAATTTTTATTTTGGGTTTGCAAAATTTATCCAAAAGGCTTCTTTTATGGTGAATTGGATTTTCTTGAAGCTTTTCAGATTCATAAAGATTTATCTTTTTTAGTTAATGACTTTGATTCAAATCCAGATCTTCCTAACACTTTTAAAATTCTCTTTTCAATTTTGTTACTATTTCTGCCAACAGATGGTCTTACCTTGTTCTCCGCTTTACTTCTTTTGGATATAAATGCAGCCCTGGCTCTCCCTTTGTTGCAGATTTCTGTGCTTCTGATGAAGAGGGACCTGTACCTAATTGCTCTCAAAATCTATAATCTTGACTAAAATCTACGCCACGCAAAAGGTAGCTGGTTTGTCTGATTTTATGAAAAATTTATCTTCAGATGATTGGTGAGATCCTGAATCACATTTAGAATAAATAGTTGTATCATCATAAAGAAGCATCAAGAAAATTAGGAAAAATATGCTTGGATGACATTATAAGCTAAACAAAACTTCTAAGATATATTTATAGTTTAGGTTTAAAGCATTTATTCTAAGAATCAGTAGTGAAGTGCCAATATGAATCTGTGGAATATGAATGAAATAGTGTAATTTAAACCAGTAGAGTCACATCAACTATTCCACAGTGAAAGCTGAGAATATTTAAGGAAGTCCAATTCTAGTTCATCGAGTCCTGTGGAAGAAAAATCAGTAAGTGCAGGATAGGCTCGTTTGTTCCTAATGAAACACAAAACTGTGTTACATATATAGATAATCTGTAACATGAATCAAAATGGTCTTAAAAAGTTGGGATCAGGTTGATCTCTAAGGCCCATATCACACGGCATTTGTTTCACACGAACAACTCTTTTGGACAATTATTCTGCCTGGTTTACTATTGAAAGAAAGATGTGCGACTTTTCCTTCCTTTCGAAAAAAATTGCAAGTCGTTCGTTTTCAACCAATCAGCTATCAGCTTGTTTGTAATGGGGAACCAGTTTCTTCTGTGTTAACCCCAAAGCAATTTATGGTGATTGGCTGTTGTGGCAAAGCAGAAAAATTTTTCCAAACAGTTGTTCTTCCGAAACAAACCGATGTGTGATAGCAGCCTTAAAGGGTTAAATTCCATTGGTGGTAAAATTACATCATCTTTGGAAAAATTTCAAGCAGTTTCATAATTATAGAAAAATATTACTTACTTAATCTTATACATTCAGACTCTATATCTGTGCTTAATTATAAGTTATAATTAAAAGAATTTGAAATTCCATTTTACTCTCCATAGTTTCATATTATTTTTATCACTTGTGTGCAAGATTGAAGCTATTAGTGATGAATGTAGGTAGATCCTGTTTTATGGTAAATAAAATAATATGAAAGGTCATGCTGTGTTTTCCCATAATTGAATATTCTTTCTCTCTCTCTCTCCTCTCTCCTCTCTCTCTTTTTTTTTTTTTTTTTTTTATTTATTTATTTATTTTTATTTTTTTATACTTTAAAGGGGCTTTGTCCCTGAAGGACTATTGTTTTTGTTTTGCGATTTTGCGTCAAATCACTCTGAATGTCCGTTTCACTTTTCAAACTGTTGCCACCAAATGTTCGAGTTTTGCATTATAATTGAAGAAATTAAATAATGGAAAATCTGCATACAGTAAGACCCCGCTTAACGCGGGGATACATTCCATCAAAGTAGAGCGTAATGCGAAACAGCGCTAAACGAGGCTATCTTTACATGTAAATATTGGGGTTAGGGGAAGATGGCTAGGAAATTGGTTAGGTATTAAATTTAAAAAAGTATGTTTTTTTAATAAAATAAAACCAAACATTTATTTCTTAAAGCTTAAATTAATACCACATTATTATTTCTTGCAAAAATAAAAAAACAAAATAAATAACAAAACGAATATTCTTAAAAAAAAACAAATAAATTCTAAGTCAGTCATATTTAGTTAGCCTTCCGCGTTTTCAGTGTTCTGCCTTTTTGTGACAAAAGCATCTAATGTTGTTTGCCTTTTTCTTTTGCGTTGTTCTCTTAAAAGTTCTTCATAAACGGATAGAGCATCTCTAACACCACGCCTTACTTTTGAGCTCCTGTCAAAATTCGGATCATTTTCAATGAATTGATCCATTATTCAGTTGTGGTAGACAAACTCCTTTTTACAAACGCCATCGAAAGTTCTTTTTGCTCTTCTTCTGAATCACTGCTGTCAACATTTTTGTTTCTTCTTGTTCAGTTAATTCCTTGAGCTCATCATTAAAAAGACTAGCCCTGCTTCTTGAATTATTTCTTCGACATCTTCCACATTTACCCCTTCAAAATATGTCTGTACAATACCGCACCAAACAAGAAATACAAGTACACTCTTTTGGATATGTATTTGAAACCTATCGCTGCATAATATTTCGGGGAATCCCCGTATGCTGCGAGCGATTTCGTGGAATCCCCGGGTTGAAATAAAAGAGCGCTAAACCGAAACAGCGTTAAGCGGGGTCTTACTGTAAATGTATGTATAGTTCTCGCATTGTGATAAAACAACGGTACATAGAACCATCGGATTTTGAATGACGTAATTCTACGAATATGGGCATGTGGAAGATCAAATTTGAAATTCGTTTTAGCATCGATTTCATATTTTCTAAAACTTAACAAAATTTTTAGTAACAAACTCAAGAATTTAAAAGCAAGCAATGGCAACACTCTACAGGGGAGGGGGCTTTTTATCTCCAACACTTGGAACTGTGTATCGGAAATTCTGAAGATATACTCATTTTAAAATTATTTTGCGACATTGCTATTGAACTGAATTTTATGATTTAAGTGCAAAGAACATGATATTTAAACACACAAAATGTTAAAAAAATTCCTGTTTGGAACGTAATTTAAAATCTGAAAACTTTCAGATTTATTATTATTATTAAGCTTCACTCCCACCAAAAAAGGGGTGGAGTTTGAAAAATAAAGTAAATACACTATTGGTCATTAAAATTGCTACACCAGGAAGAAAAGTAAATAGCAGAATCTTATGGTATGATGGGAGGAAGACATGATTAAGGTGGTTTGAGATACACAGTGTGCAGAATTCAGTACTCTTCAGCTGCTACCTCCAACAGCAACAATGGCTCTAATCTGGCTAGGCATCGAATAAGACAGAGTTTAGGTGACAGATACAGGTACTTCATTCTAATTTTTTTTTTTTTCTAAATTTATTTATTATGTGCTCCATTATTAGGCACTGCATGGAAAGGGAGGGATGTCCCATAGAGGTCTTTTTACAGGAAACTGGCTTGTATTCGTGTTACTCTTGGGGGAAAACCATGAAAAACACCTATGCAGTCAACCCATTGACTGGGACTTGAAGCCCAGACCAGTGTTCAACGGCCGTGGCTTGGCCTACTTGTGGTAGCTTCAACTCTATTATCAGAGTTCATCAATCATAATGACTGGCAAGTGGTGGTGTGAAAGTCTCTTGGCAACTCACGATCAGATGTTTTCTGTGGCAGAGAGAACATGACGCAGCACAACAGCCAAATGCCTTTCATATCAAGGATGGCCTTTCATATCAACATGTGGTCATGCATATCTTTTTGTTCAGTGAATGGTATGGCACTGACGTTGAAGATAGAACAAAGCCATTTGTCATAATGTGTCAGTGAATAACTGCAGTTCCCCACTTTACAGACAAAAAAATTATGCAGACAAAAGGTGACCAGAATGCATACCAGTGGCACCCCATACCAGCCAGGTGATGGGCCTAAAAGACTATGACAAATGAAACAGGCAACGTTCATTCTGCTTTTGCTACCACACTTATATACATCCATCTGTAAGCAAAATCGAGAATTTATCTGAAAAGAATATGTGTTGCCATTCCTTTGTGCAGTATCATTATTTATTGCACATTTGTATTCATCACTGTCTCTGCTACAGTGTCAAGTGAATCTACAATAATGATATCCATGGTGCTACTGAGATCCTCATGCTGTCCATGTATTTGACATATCTATACTATCCCACAATGCTGTGAGTACATTATGTCTGCCCTCTTGGTTATTAGAGGCTGAAGGTTGCTGAGATCCCATGTCATTCATTGTGGCCCTCCTGGACCCATCATTTCCATAATCACGACAGTCATAAAATCCTGACAACAGAATCAGCAAACGCTGAGGCATTGCCCAGATAGGCCACAATCCTGCCCCTGTAAAATTCCAACATATCCTACTAGAAGTTTCTTCATCTTACATGAGGCATAACATGACTTTTACACAAGCAACCAGCATTCAAATATGATTTCCAAATGAGAAATGTTCTGTGCTGTCTTTCCATATATATATAGTATAGTTGCCTCTACTCAGACCTTCGTGCACATAGGCTGGAACACTAATCATTTGCATAGCCCAGTAAGTAATAACTTTCATGCAAATTTGATCTTTATTGCATGCTGCCTTCATAGTGTAGGAATTTTATTGACCAGCAGTGTAGTTTATAAATTCAAAAATAGTTATCAAACTAGAATGGAGCATAATATGGTGAAATTCAGGAACCTAGATGCTTATCACATATCTGTTAGTCTTTATACAGCATTTTGCTTTATAAAAATTTGCAGGTGCACTTGAAGTATTTCTGTAATTCAAAAGTATTAATCTACACTTTTGTAATTTTCTTTAGCCTGTTTTAATATATATAGACAATTTTTTTTATTTTATTTCAGCCCATTAGTAATGCCGATTTTATAGTTCCTGTGGAAATTGATGGAGTAATTCATCAGGTTAGTAATTTTTCACCTTTAATTCAAGTATAGTTTGATGATTTTTGTTGCAATGGTCCAATACAGACATTTCCCTTTTTTAATCTAATTCAACAAAATGAAACCAAATATCGCTTGGGGTTCTTCTATGCAGTAATACAGTCAAAAGTCGTTAATTCGGACACCCGTAATCCGGAATGATCTATAATCCGGACCTCAAAGCTAAAATCTTTCTGCGCATGCGCCGCATTGACGCATGCGCATAGGCCTTTTACTCATGTGCGCAAGACATTTACGACTGCGCATATGCAACTGCGCAAGTGCAGAATACGTTTTCACGTGCGCGTTTAATGTATGACGGACGGTATAAGCTAAAATTATCTAATTATCTATTTCAGTTAATGTTGATAATTGCGTTGTTCCTTAATCTTCGAATTGGATCCGGCTTATTATTTTTTGCAGACTGTAAGAGCAATTTTATAAAAGTAAGCTTGAACTTTCGATTATGTCAAATAGAATTTCCGATGCTGGAGCTCCCAAAGGATCTACAAAACGAAAGTATGTTTCGATGTCCATCAAACAAAAAGGGGAATTGCTACAAAAAATGGATAAAGGCATATCCTTTGTTTATCTAACCGTTCCGAAATCTGTTTATCAATTTCACGCTGCTCTGCGCGGGGGGGGGGGGGGACGTCACGCGCGCAATGAACTGGAAGTTGATCTGTCAGCACTATCCTTATCTTCAGGGCAGATGTTTTTATTTTATTCGGCTTATAATTCCTTACTAAATGTAGTATTTAATCTTGATGTACTCTGTCTTTGATATGATTTAAATCAAATTCCTCGTCATTATAAATATCACGAATACAAATCAATAGTTTTCTGGTTGCAATTTTCTAATTTCGGCTATGATAAGTATGCTTTACGCATCCGCGCGTTAAAGAAATGTTTAATAAAGTAAACAAATAAATATTAAGCTTTTTTTTTTGTAAATTTTGATACCCTTTAGATCATAATTGCTCTTTATTTTATAAATTACGGTTTCATATTTTTAGTTTTATAATTTCTGCATGCCATCTTACCAGATTTAAACTGATGATCTATAATCCGGAAAAATCGATAATCCGGAATCGCCGAAGTCCCGACGAGTCCGGATTAAAGACTTTTGACTGTATTCGCATTTTGTTTTGCAACCTTGAAAAAATACATTAGATGAAAAAATTTACGTTTATAGGTATATACTAATTCTAAAGAAGATTCAAAAGAAATTCACAGCTCTTGATTACAAGACATTAGTAAAATAAGTAAGTAAATAAAAATATAATTTATTATTTTACAAAAATATCACTGTAATATTGTATAAAAAAGGTAATGCATAATATACGTAAACATACTGTGACACAGTATTCAAAGAATGGAAATAAAATTCAAAGGAGCAGCTCCGAGGAAGCGAAAACTACAAATAATCAAGACTGCAACAGCCGTTTTGCGGCTGTAGCAAGAATAGAGCAAACGAAGAAGACTCCATCAGAGTGCGATCTGAAGCTAGAGCAGAAGCGATGAAAATCACGACTCCAGTGGACCCGGATTTGCGACTAGCGCCAGAGCGCTGACAGCTGGGGAATCTGAAGAACCAGCTCCTATAATCTATGTACTTAAAACAGGGGGGGAAAACTCCATCCATTTGCAAACAAGAGGGGGGGGCAGTTTCCCTGAGATGCATCAGTTTATTTAATGTTTTGGTTTTATTGGGTGGAGTGCAAGCAAACCAAAAGCACAATATATACATACTTAACACACATAAATAGGTCAGAGACGTTTTCAGTAAATAATAAAGGAAAGAATGCATTACATTAAGCTTTATATTAAGAGGAAATCAAACATTTTGGCACACTTCCTAACAACAGCTCTCGGTGAACGGTTAAAGAACTGCCGCTCCATTTTTCACCCGAACGCTGATCATTCGTTCGCTTCAGTGAATCGGTTCTTTGAATCAGTTCTGGAGTGGATCATCTATCTCTAATACATACTGGATCATTCTTCTTCAGCGATACACTTTTAAATTTATATTTTCTCTGAACATTGGATAATTCAAACTCTGTTCTGAGAACCTTTGAGTTCAAATTAATGAGCGTCCACTGTATTAAATTTTTTTCATCCTTGTGAAAAAAGTTTTCATCCAAACTTTTTTTCATCCAACTTTCAATAATTGGAATAAATGTTGTTTATTTATCACATATTTGGTTATCATTTGTAATTACAAAGAAAAGCAACCTGGAAATACTTAAATAACAGTAGTAGCTCACAGACCAATTCAATATAATATGAATAGTTCAATATTGTCAAAGGTGATAGAATAAAAGATCTGCATTTAGCAGCACAGTATTAACTTTTTGATTTTTTTTTTTTTTTTTAAAATGCATAACATTGAGTGTACTGGATATCTTTTGAGCCAAGGAATTTCATCTAATTTTCTATCCAATATAAGAGCATTTACGATTTGGTCAGCTTCTCCAAGCAAAGTATTTAGATTTGCTTAAATCTCACACTGATAGAAACTTACCTATGCAGAATCTACTTTCATACTGCATTAATTAGTTATTTATCTGCCCTGCAACACCTTCCTTCTACAACTATTTTTTATAAGCTGTTAAAGTGATACTGTCAAACTTCTGTATTTTAAAATTGAGAAAAAGAGAACAAGTGTCAAACTTTAAAAAATCTGATATTAACTTAAAATAAATATTACTGATTCTTTTAATCATGTTAGGCATCTGCAATGAGAATTTTTTTTTTTTTTTAATTAATTTGTTTCAACTTTCAATAGTTTTATTTTCCCTAGTCCTCTGGGTCAGCTTTCCTCTTGGCTATAGTTTTCTAGTTGGTTATTTCAATAACATTTAAGTCATTATATATGCAATGTTATTTAACTTTATTGAAAATGTATTTATAAGAAATAGAATCAGAAATATATCTTTTTTCTTTAAGTAAAAATTTGCTTTTTTTAATTAGATTAAAAAAAAAAATTCTTCAGCATGATTGCATTTCTTTGTAATTTAATAATATGAAATATTTTTTGCCCCTTCAGGTATATGTTCTTAAGAGGCCTTATGTAGACGAATTTCTCCAGAAAATGGGTGAAATGTATGAATGTGTTCTCTTTACAGCTAGCCTTGCTAAGGTAATAATTATTTTTTTATTTATTTATTTTGAGGGGATCACTGAAAATAATTTAATAGTTAAAATGAAAATAGATGGTGTAAAAAATTTAAAAAAAAAATTAAAAATTGGTTTGGATTTTTACTTCTTTGTGCAAAGTAAAGGAAGTAGTGCAGTCACAAAAAATTTCAGGTATCGTATTTCAACGAAAATATCCATTTTGACCATTCCCAGATCCATTTGGATAACTTTTTTACGTGCATTTGTGTGTATGCATCGAATAAAGGAACCCTCCCCCCCTTAAATTCAGAAGGCATTTTTGTGATATTTGTACATATGTGTATATATGTATCTTGCATAATGCAAAAACGATTAGCTATATATGTAATATATATAATCAATTAGCTATATATATATGTGTGTGTATATGTAATTACAAAACAATTCTTTTGAAAACTAAATATATATTTGCCTAGTATTTTGCATTAAGTTGCATTGTAGAAGAGAGATTTCAATTGATTTCAGTGTTCCTCCCTCCTAATGAAGTAGCATTGAATTTGATTGATTTTCTCTTCTGTTTTTGTTCATTTTTCTTTAAATTTCATTAATTTTTTAAAATTTGCTTGTTTGAAATGTTTTGGCTTTAATGTTTTAAAATTCTTTGTTGCAATTATTTGAAATTTATTAATTATGAATTTCAGTTTTTGTGCTTATATATATAATATCTTATATATATATATATACGAGGCGTATTCGGAAACTAGTACCGTTTTGAAAAAAAAATAGTAAAACATTTTTTCGAATCCAATTTTATTTTTCATAAAATACTGACTTAAACTATTTTTCAACATTTTTCCGCCAATGATCAAACACTTGTAGCGGGTGACCATTTTTGTATACCATCATCAAAGAAACTTCCCGTCAGTTTCGATAACCATGACCCCACCATTTTTCATATCGTCATCAGATCCAAAGTGCTTGCCACCAAGCTCGCAGCTTCATGTGCAGGAAGTGATAGTTGCTGTGCCAAGTCCGGGCTGTACGGCGGTGATCGAACTACTCCCTGAACTGTCGAATTAATGATTGAGTAACACCAGCTTGGGGTCGAGCATTGTCATGGAGCAACCAATTCCTTTGCTGACATTTCTCTTCGTTGGTTGAATGGCACGCCTTAGTTTTGTAAAGTCTCACAATATCGTGCCGCATTAATGTTTCACCTTTGGGAAGAAATTCAGTAGCAAAATGCCTTTCCTATCCCAGAATAACAGTGCACATGATTTTTTGTGATGACATTGTCACTTTGAACTTTTGTTTTTTCGGAGAAAGTGTGTCTCCACTCGTCGATTGTTTTTCGATTCTGGTGTGAATGACCACCCAAGTTCATCACTTGTCACAATTTGGTTTAAAAAGTTTTCTCCGTCATCACTGTACCGCGTGAGAAATGTCAGGGCACTCCAGTCGCTTTGTTTTGTGGACATCAGTTGAGCATTTTTGAACCTCGGGAACACATTTTGTGATAATTCATCGCTCAACACAATTTCAACAAACAGTACATGAAATTTGTGGAAATGCCTCTGAAGAGTTTCATTGTGAACATTGTTCTCTGAATTGCTTCATGAACTTTCCTTACCAAATCATTGGTGACAACAGAAGGCCGACCACTCCGAGCCTCGGCGTGGACATTTGTTCCACCTGTATTAAACATTCTTACCCACTTTCTCACCATTCCATCACTTATCGCGTATTCACAGTAAACTTCTGTCTCTTGACGATAAATTTCGACTTTGTCTTAAACATTTTGAATGTGCACAGCAAACTGAAAACACAACATAGAGCAACCAAAATGGCGACAATTGAAAGTCAGTGAACAAGAAAGACTAGTGCGCATGCACGGGATGCCTACCACAGTGCTGCAACGGCGCTAGAATGAAACGGTACTTAGTTTCTGAATACGCTACGTATATATATATACATATATATATATACGTGTGTGTATATATACATATATATATATGCACACACACACTTATTTTCCCAATTATTGGTCATAGTCATATGCTTCCAGTTATGGAAGTGTTTTAAATGATGAAAATATTCATGTTTGTTTGGGTGATGTCAAATTAATTTTTTTTTTTTGGACAAAAAGTGAAATATTTATATACTTATGTTATACTTTCATATACTTATGTTTGGGAAAGTTTTACACTTGTTATGAAAAAATAAACTTATAAGAAGTTTGACATCTGTACGATAAAAACTAACTGGGATATTTAATTTCAAAATTTGCAAGTTTTGATGTCATTTGCAACTTGCCTTGAGAAATTAGTTAATTAAGTTAGAGTAATTCGAGAAAGAGGATTCAAGGAAGTCGTGGTGTCTACATAAATTTTTTTTTTATTTAAAAAAGAAGAAAGCGGAAATCATGTTAACCTTTAATTTAGTTGAATCAAAATAGCGCAGTTAGATAGTTTAGCTCTTTCAGGGGAATCTGAAACAGCTTTTTTAAACCTTTCATTCAGTTCTTAATTATGCTGCCAAAAGCACTAGATAGGCTAGTCTGTAATGTGAAATTTTGATTAAGTAAACCATTTTAATGGCATAACAGTTAAATTATTTTTTCTTGCATAACTTAATTTCATATTATGTTAAGAGATAGGAATGTTTAAATGAGCAACAAATGTTCAAAAGAAAGATGTGTTGTCACTAATGGAACACAAGATTTTAAACAACAGTTTTGACATGCTGATCATTTACGTATGTGGAATACCATGAATTCTTCATATTTTTTGCCATCAACCAAAGCCAGCCTTCCCTCAGTTTATCAGTCTTTTATTTTATTTTATTTTTTATTATTTATTTATTTTTAATTTTTTTTTTTCAACCACCAAGTATAGTAATTAGTTAACACTGACTGCTGTGCTGATGAGTCCAAGTTGTATTCTTCCAAGTTGTTGCTTCTTGTATGACAAACAATTCCAGAGAATGAATTTGTGTAAGCATGTAGTCTGTGCAGCAAGGAGGCATTCAAAGTGCATGGCAAGTCAAAAGTCCTCTCAAGAGGTTTTGTGGTCAGAGATCCTTGAACTGTTTCCCAAGCCTTTTTTTCAAAATTGGGCCAGAAGCTTAACAATCACCTGTAGTGCTACAGAGGTGCTGGCTTAGCGCCTGCCTCTACCTGTAAAAATAAAGCATCTCTGCAGTAAATTGTTTCATAAACATAACCTTTCAGTTGAAAGCCTCCTTGAAGGGTTATTGGTAGGGAGAAAGAGTTTATGAGCAACAAATGTTCAAAAGAAAACTGTGTTGTCACTCATGGAACACGTAGACCTTCCCCCCCCAAGGCCTTAGCTAACAACAGGCACTCAGTTACTTTTGGCTGTGAATAGTTGTGGATTTAATCTGAGTAAATGTCTCCAAATGCAGGAAGATAAGGACTAACATTGAAAGTTAAACGAGGGGAGGGAATTTTTCTAATCTCTCTCTCTCTCTCGTCTTTTTTTTTTTTTCTTCTTTAATAAATTGTTTGTCATACAAGAAGAACTAAATTGTCATTTTTTCATTTTTAAGTAATGCAGTTTTTGCAGAACTTTCAGCTGAACTTTTAGGTATTCTAAGGTGAAGACGAATGCAGTTAGCATATATAAATATTTGACACTTTTATGGATTATAAGCTACACTTGTTTTTTTTAGTTAGGTTAGGTTATTTATGAATATGGCAAAGCATGCAAAGACTATCTGTCTAGGTGAGAAATCTGTTAGGAGGAATTTCCAAGGGAAATTGGCTCATATTTACCATACACGCAGGGAAAAACAAGATGCAACCAACCCATTCGCTTGGGTTCAAACCTCAACTGTCAGCATTCAGCAGTCTTAACCACTTGGCCATTTGGTGGGGTACTTGTTTTTTTTTATGCATGCCATCATAAATTTTGAAAAGTTTTTTAAAAAAAGGCACAAAAGTAAAATATTTACTTAGCTTCTGTAATAAGTAACTGAAAATTAATCTATACTAATAAAATACTCAAAGATAATTAAAACATAGACTTGCGCTGCATGCTAGTTTAAAGGGTTAACTTTATCTTTCCTAAAATCTTGGGCATTAATTTCAGTTAAAGAAATTTGATAAACGCATGTGAACATGTCTAATTTCCGTGATTGTGTACTTGTATTGAGGTGAAGAGTTCATTCTGCATCAGCAGCTGTTTTCCATTGAGTTTCAACTAATTTACTATTTTTAAGGATAATTATTATTTGAAAATGTATTTATTCTTCAAAAATAAGTGTTTTATGAAATTGCATGTAAAATGTTTTTTTATTTAAATATTTAAATTTCTTATTAATCTTCTTATTTCTTTTGTTTATTAATTTGTAGTACGCTGATCCAGTCGCCGATCTCTTGGATAAATGGGGTGTTTTTCGTTCTCGCCTATTTAGAGAATCATGTGTTTTTTATCGTGGAAATTATGTCAAGGTAATAATGATTCTAAAAAACTGTTAGGTTTTTACTTTATGAGTCAAATATTTGGTAATAAATATTTTCCTTATGTATCTTATATAGGATCTTGGTAGGTTAGGTCGGGATCTTCACAAAGTTATCATAGTAGACAATTCTCCTGCTTCCTATATCTTCCATCCAGATAATGCAGTAAGTTTTTTGCTTGTTTTTGTAATTGTTAATGACAATGATGTGAGTTTAATGTGAATGATTCATAGTTTTTGTTAATCATTATTTGTAATTAATAAATATATTTTGCATGTGTTGATGGTATCCTTAATGTGAATTTGCTAAAGTTATTACTTAAAGGAAAGGAATAGTTTATACATAGTGCTATCATAACACAGTTATTTTAAACTAACCATACCATAACCTTGTCTTGCTAAAAGTAAAAACCAAAGTGTATTTTAAAGAGTTGGAATGAAGTAAAAAGTGCTTGTCTGTTTAATTAGTGTGGGATAGTTTATAATCCTGTTGGAAGTGTTGCATGAATTCCATATCAAAACAGTTATGTGAGAATGTGCATTATCATAAAAGAATAGCACACATGGAAAATAATTAAGAGTTAAAATAGTTAAATTTTTGAAAAACAAAAAAAAGCAGCACGACTAAAAATTTCTAATCTTTTGTTTGTTTATTTGTTTGTTTCCTTTCTTTTGCAAGCAGTCAGGATACTTTTAAGTCTTCTTCATCTTCAGTAACACATCACAGTGAGCATTGTAAAATGCTTCTCATTTTAATCACAGTAAAGCCATCATCTGTCATATATTTTAGTCCCTAAGAACTTCAGCTTTAATGGTATCTTTTCGTAATAGCTTCCTTCGACAGATAGTCTGCTGGCAAAGTAATGCTTTTTTTTTTTTTTTGTTTGGGGATCATGCAGGTAATGTTGTTTAATTTCCTGAAAAGGAGGTGGAGCTCAGGGGCGTAGCTAGAGGGAGACAAGGGGGCATCTGTCCCCGGGTGCAGAATCCAAGGGGCGCCAAACATCAGTTTGGAATTAGATGATTTCCATCCTTGGCAAGCAGTAGGGGGCACGAAATCTTCAGTTGTCCCTGGGCGCTGAAAACCCTAGCTACGACTCTGGTGGGGCCCTGACTGTATGAAGGTTGCCCAAATCAGCAATCATCTCTTTCCTATATTTCACTACAGTGTTGTTTGAAAATGCCACCTGCTCCTTTCCTTCTAAGTAGCTTTTCTAAAAATGGCTGTCGGTCTCAAAACACCACATAATGTTAAAAGTAACTTTATTAAAGGTTTTATTTTTAACAGAATTAATCTGTCGTAAATAGAATTTTTTAAAAAAAAAACACATATATATTGTGACATAATTGAACAACAAAGAAAAAATGAGTGTAATGCATAATATTAAATTTATGAAACATTAAAGAATATATTTGCTTAATAACATTTTTTGTGTGTATTGCTTCAAATTGAATTTTTAACAAACACAATGTAAAGTAGTAAGTAGTGAAATAGTAATACTTGCAGTTATTAATACTGAAAAACTTAAATCTGAATTATGATGAGTGCATAAATGTGATGTATTCTTGAATTAATATGTGTTTATAGTATAAAGATATGTTTTGAAAATTCATCGTAGAGAAAAACTAAAATATTATACGGTAGCTATGTCAATCACATGTACTTTCATACCAGATTGCACTTGTAAACAATTTCAGAATCAGTGAATTTTTGCTAGTTTTACACAATTAAAAATCATAGCTACACTTTGAAATCATAGCTACACTTTCTGAACTAAGAAAGTTAATACTCTGATTTCTATCAAACTTAGTTACTGAAATTGTTAAGGAAAATTATTAAAATGTGTACTTTTTAGTGCACTTTTAGCAATAAGTCATACTGGATTACGTTACTAAATTCTCCCTCTTATGCTCAAAATTATATTACAGTATCACCAACACATTCAGGAAAATGAATTAATGTGTATAATTTATACTTATATGTTACACAAAGATGTTTTATCAAGGGTAGGGTAAGCTCATTTATGCATATTAGGAAAAGGCTTACTGTGTAGAAGGGATCTATTTGTGTCCATTCCATCTGGCATGTAATTTATTTGTGAACTGAGTTGTTTCATGGCATCCAAAGGGTTAATATAGCTGTGTATTGTGCATAGAGCAAATTGGAATTTGTGACTCTCTCCTTCAAACCTATTTATAGTATGCCCCTGGTAAAAAAAGGTCCATGACAAGCACTTATCCATGTGTGACTGTTTTAATCCAGGAACTCTCTCCTGAAAGGCTTTTGATTATTCACCATATAATCCTGAGATGGAGATTCTCCTACCTTTCAAATAACATCTTTGTGGCCATAGGTTTCAAAAATGACAAGGATGTAGTAAATAATGGTAACATAGTGACTCAGTGTCTAAGTTTAGGACTTACTTACATAGGTGTCCCAGTCGTAACAATGAGTGCATGGAAAAGTAAGGTATCGAGTATGGAATAAAGTACGTAATGTGTTATGATTATATAAATTTTGTTGTTAAATTAATACTGTACTTTTAGGATGCCTTTATTCATTTAATAATTTCTGTAGTTGAATTCAGTTTTATTGTTGTTCTCTATGTCGTATATTCTTCCACATATTACATAATTTTACACCAAAGTAGAGTATACTGTGTCATTAACTTAATTTTTGTTACAGTAATTATATTAACATTATCATATTTTAACTGTTCCTGTAATTAACCAGTTAACTGAATTTTTATAAATGTAAGTCTAGTTTACTCATATCATTACATAGTTCTTCCATTAATTGAAAGTTACAATTCATTCAGAGTGACAGAGCCCACTAATGGCTGAGTGGATAAGACCACTGAACACTGGTAGTTTCATGTTGGGATGATCCCCAGCAGGAACTGGCTGACTACCTGGTGTTTTCATGGTTTTCGCCATATATTATGTAAATACTAGCCAGTTTTCCTTAGAAAGTTCTTCTTGAAGGTATTCATTCCTCTTAAGGTATGCTTTGTTAATAAATTATTATCTACCTACAGAGAGAAAAGATAAGACTAGGGATTAGAATATTTTGTGTTTTTTATTTCCTTCTCAGTGCAGTGCATGCTTTTATAGCGGTAAATTCCAGGACTTTTTGCTTGCCTATGCACGTAAATGAACACCCTTCGATCTGACATTGTAATTATTTAAATTTAAAAGTATTATTATTGAAATTTGTGTAATTAATAGAAAGTCTTAGCTTGTCAATTTCAGAATGTAATGCATTAATGATTATGCAATAAATATGCAAATTTATGTAGAATCTTTCTGAATAGCATAAAATGCTCACTTAAAGATATAAAAATTTTATAATGCAACAGTTGGGAAACATTGCTTTATTTTATATTGTTCCCTAATGCATAATTATTTTGAATAAATTTAAATATTTCATTTGTGCAAAATAGAAAAGCTTTTTAACTACTAAGAAGTATTTTAATTTATATTTATTTACCTCTAAGAATATTGTTACGAAATGTAGCGCCATAAGGGCTTCCCTGCAAAGCAGTTTTAGGGTTGCCATAAAATAGCAAAGAAGGCATCGTTGCCACATTTGGGGATAAAATTGCCGATATGCCATGGATGGACGGAGAACCTTCTGGAACAAATTCTTACCGCTTTAGCCCAGAATGTTCTCAAACACAAGCCGAAAACTATATAAACCCTGCTGTTCTGCAGTCAGTTACTGTGTGTGCCTCGCATACAGTGCGAGATAGTTAGTCTCGAGTTAGTCAATTGAGTTGACTGCCGGGCAGCGAGTGCCGAATGGGTTGTTGAGTACATCGAAGAGTCTCTTAGTGTATCGTCGAGAGAGTGTGTTAAGCTCCGGGAATGACTGAGCCAAAGAGTCGGGAGCTGTGCTCTGTGAGTCGTCGAGTGCATCGCGAGTTGTAGCGTGGAAAGTCTCGAGAGTACATGGAGTTCCGAGAACGACCGAGCAGAGTCAGGAGCTGTACTCTGGTGTTTTGCAGTGAAGCTGTCTTCACCGTTATTGCATGACAGTGTGAAGGCTGTGTTGCTGATTGTTCCAGCGTGTTTATAGTAGATCTTCAAAGACTGTAAAAGTGTTTTGGAGCTGTCTTGATTAATATTGATCAATAAAGTATGTTTTGATACTTCATCAAGTGTCGTCGTTATTCACTCCAAATTCACATGAACCCCGTACGAACGGGAAGGAAGAAAATAACGTAGCAACTGGTGTCAGAAAAGAAAAATGCAACAACTGGTGTCAGCAGTGGTGTTGCCATTATTCACTCCAAATCCTCACAAACCCCTACTAACGTAACAACTGGTGTCAGAAGAATAAAAAGCGCTACAACTGGTGTCAGAAGTGGGATTTGTGAGTGAATGCCAGTGACCCGCTTGGAGAGGAAAGCTACGGCGGAGGAAACGAAGACTTTGATGGACTTCTTAGATGACATAAAAGCTGGATATAAAGAAATGACTGCTGAGATCAAAGCCGGACTGGAAGAGCAGAAAACCCGATGAGAAGAAATAAATGTCGGCCAAGAAAAGGTGTGCGAGCAACTCCTACAGGTGAAAAAGGGTGCTTGCAGAAGAAACTGGAGCCATAAAAGACGATTTGGAAATGACAGAAGTGGCGTCTGAAGAAATGAAAGAAGTAGCTAATGAACTGCCTGAGAAAGATCAAGAAATGATGTATGAAACATCTGATGGTATTAAAGGAAAAGAACAAAAACATGAAGAAATAAAAGAAGCTTGTGATTCTGAAGTGCCTGAAGTGGAAGGAAGGGAAAATGTGACTGTTAAGTTCGTCAACACTGATAGTGCAGTTACAAAGTCGCAGGCAGTAAGTGTTGAACCATCTGAAAGTGCAAGTGATGCAGAGATGGGAAAAGCTGATGTGCAGCTTAAGCAGTGTGCTCCAATATTGCAAGAAAATTCACCCATTTTGCAAACTATATGTGCACCTTATAGTGCAGGTTGTGCAGATAAGGACTTGATTCTAAACCTGGATAATTGTGTTTGTGAAGAATCAGGTTCCATTCGCGCTCTAATGCAAACATCGGGACTGGTTTTCAGGAAATAGAGGAAAACAAGTACAGTACAAAGTCTCTAATCTGGACTCATCGTGACTTCGGCGATTTCGGATTAGGGATTTTTCCAGAT